CTGTAAGCATAAAGATTCTTGTCTCTTAGATTTGGGACACAGCAGGTCAGGAGAGGTTCCAGTCTTTAGGTGTGGCATTCTACCGTGGAGCAGACTGCTGCGTCCTGGTGTTTGACGTCACTGCACCCAACACCTTCAAGACCCTAGACAGCTGGAGGGACGAGTTCTTGATTCAGGCCAGCCCTCGAGACCCTGAAAACTTCCCCTTTGTGGTGCTGGGCAACAAGATCGACTTGGAAAACAGACAGGTGTGTTCAAATGTAACTGTGTCAGACGTGTTACATCATGTAAGTGATGCATCATCTTTTATCGAAAATGTGTGACAGGTGTTGGTAATTTGTCATACGAATGGCTTAATGAAAAACAAGAATAACTTGTGTTTTGCCAGATGTTTTTAACCTCACCATCTTCTTTGTGTTTCAGGTAACAACCAAGCGAGCACAAGCTTGGTGCCAGAGCAAGAACAACATCCCATATTTTGAAACCAGCGCCAAGGAAGCAATCAATGTGGAGCAGGCCTTCCAAACTATTGCACGCAATGCTCTTAAACAGGTAAGGTGATGTCAGCAGGAAAGCTGTTGGGCAGTTTTAGACACACAACTTCATGGAGACTGAGCTGTAGAGCTTCACACAGACTCTGTTACCTTGTTTGATTTCAGGAGACCGAGGTGGAGTTGTACAACGAGTTCCCTGAGCCAATTAAACTGGACAGAAACGAGCGAGCCAAGCCGTCAGCAGAGACCTGCAGCTGCTGAGGACTCTGAAGATCTTCAGAGGGTTGTCATGCCCTCACTACCCTGTCTTGCCTTGTCTATATATCCTCTTTCCCATGGCTCACTATGTTATTCCCTATTGCCCAACATACAAGCAGCATCCCACTTATTGAGAATACTAGTATACACAAACATGCTGCACTCACCTCCTTATGTATACAAAGTACACATTTTCTATAAAAATCTAAATTTCCTAGCCCAAAGAACACCTCGAGGGAACAATACAACATTTATTTGTATTAAGCCTATGACTTCCCAGTGTTTTCTCATACTTTTTCATGGCAGTGGTGGTATGGGCTGATCTCACTTGGAGTTCTGTGTTTATCAATGCTTTCAGTCCCAGTTTTGGTTGTAACAGTTTTTATTTGAATATGTCCAAGTGGGAAATCAAAGCATTACTTCTTTAGTTATTTGTATTTCTAATTTAATTTAAACTTTTTTTTAGTGGTTTTCTTACTTTCACAGCCCACTGCTGCTGCATGAATAGTAGAAACACTGCTCCCCCTTCTTACTCATTTGTGTTGTGGCTTATGTTAGTTTCACTCTGAAACACTTGTTAATGTGGTTTCACTTGAACTCATAAAAATCTTTAAAAAACATAATTCTGACACTTAAACAGGGATACTGTGTAAAAGTGTAGATGATATCATCATACTGCCTGCTGATTCTTAGTAATTGGTATAGAATTGGAAATGCAGATCGATAACAAGTCCATTAGACAAGTGTGTACAGATTCTTTTTTTCTTTTTTGCTTTCATCTTCGGTAACTGAAAACTTACTGAAACATCTCATTTTGGAGCCACAATAAACACAATTGTAGCTCAGGTTGAGAACATTGTGTGAATACAGACTCAGTTCCTGCGTCCAAGTGCTGTTCCTCTGCTGGGGAAATGAAGGTTGTAAAATTCCAGATAGAACATTTGACATGAACCAAATCAAGACAGCATGTCAGTCTACCAGATAGTCCTAGAGGAGAGATTTTTCTCGAGTACAAATTGTCATTCATAACCCAGTACTATTAGCTAGTACATTTCTTTTTATTGTCAACTGTTGCAACTTTGTATATTTGCAGACCTCTCAATCATTGTGTGGGGAAAACATAAAGTTGTGTTGTAAATCTCCATATCTGACTCTGCCAGATGCTCGTGTTGGCATACGATTCAAGTGCTTGACATTTCTTTTAACTGATCAGATCTTTAACTGTCTGTTCGTATTATTTTAAAACTTTGAAACAAGATGACATACATACTGTAACTCTGAAGGACAAATGTGGGGGGGAGAGTGTTGGAATTCATCATTATTATATTATTAATATGATAATGCATAGCATTTACATTGTTTCAAGTAATAAGGGTAATAAAAAACAACCTTGAATAAAGCATTATTGTGTCTGACATTTATTGATGAACTCTTAAATTGTTGTAGAACAATGAATTGCATTTAAAGTATTCATAAGTACAAGTTAAAACATTTTCTTAAAAGTTAAAACTTTTTCTTATACAATTGTACAGCAGCAGAGTACAATAAGTAAGGCATGAATGGTCTTTCAAACACTGTCGAGTTTTCAGTTCATGTATTTACTTTGTTCTTGGTTTCTTGTTGGTTCCCTGAAGCCACTGCTGAAGTCCTCCTGCAGACTTGCGCTGATTCAGTGGCTTGCTTTCTTGCTCTTTTTTACTTTCACTTGTGTGGGACTCCTTCCTCTTTGAAGGTGAACTGCTCGACAGCCAGCTTGCCATCATCTTACTGCTTGCTGTGGACTTGGGTTCCTACGAGTGAAAGAGTCAAATTTCTCAGCTGTAACCGCTCTTGTTAGTACAAAATGGCTAAAATTCCCAACCACATCATTATATCTGATACCTTTTTGCTGTTGAGATCCACTGGTTGGAGGCATTCTGGAGAGTTGTTGCGCGTGTTGTTGACAAACGAAGAGACGGGGTGAAAAGTCAAAATATTTTTTGACTGGAGCAGTTTGAGAGCTTCTAGAGACTTCACCTCGCCAAAATCCAGCCATTGCCTAACCTCTTCCTCCCCATCAAGGATCGCTGGCATCCTAAAAAGCAGTCACAATGATTTATGATTTTACACAGCACGAATTAAGAGCATGTTTCCTGGTCTGGGATTCTTACCTATCATGGATGCTTTGCAGATTTGGGGAAGCATTCACAGTTATTACACTATATGAGTAAAGGGGTTCTCCACCTCCAGGTGGTGTCCAGCAGTCAAACACTCCTGCCATAGTTAGCAACCTCCATCCTGTCCACTCACCTGCAGCTTCTCCTCCCTGTTAAATACAGAGTATAATGGGGATTTCAACAATGCAACAGAAACACCTGGTGGACACATGCACATTTTTATCTTGGCTCATCTCCCACACAGGAAACTTAATATCCGCCTAAGCTGCATTCTCTCTACTTTTGAAGTAGATGAAAAAAATGTTTGTGGAGCTTATATTGCAACAGAAAACCCAAAGCAAACCTTCATCAAACCAGAGGAGGTTTTGGCTGGAGGGCGCACTGACTCAGAGTCTGAGTTCTTTCTTTCCTCCTGGCTGGGTCCTGACTGAGTCTGAGGGAAGTAGATGAAGAAAGGCTGCTTGCCTTTTTCAACCTTTTGCCACTCATAGAAACCATCAGCTAGAATGACACAGCGCTGTCCTTTCAACATAGGGTCCTACAGGGAGATGGTAAAATGGTTAAGACACTCCTATGTAACAAAAACCGACAAGTAAAGCAACACGTGATGCACAGGAAATGTAACATCGCTTGCTACTAGGTAAAGCACCTTGTAGGACTTCTTCTGCAATATATTCTCACTGCGGCAATTGCTGGTACTGTATTGCATCTTGCTGGGGTCACTCTCCTTAAACCATGAGGGTACCAGACCCCACCGCATTGAGGCCAACACACACTTATCCACAGGAGCATCCTGAAGACAAAAGACGGACACAATATTCAATGCAAAAAACCCAGAAGGACAGAATATGTTTTTGAAGCCTGTAATATTTAATACATAGTCGGTCAACAGACACAAGAAATACATTAGCAAATGTTAACATCACGTTTTTAATTTCTATAACTGTAATAAAATATATAAGGTTTTATTACGAGGTTAGACAGTGACTGACTTCACCCCACTTCACTTAAAAACGTCACATCTTCCACCTTCCTCGGGCGCTTCCCCAATATAAGTTAAGCTATAACAAACAGTTGACATGTTAGCTTCTGTATACGTTATAATTACCTTGTCAAAATGCCTCTGTGACAGCAGGACGGGACTCATGGACTGCGGGTTCTTATTGTAGGAGGGTCGATAGTTGTCCGCGTCTCCATCCCTCCAGCGGGGCTGTCTCCTCTGCCCCCTTCGGTTTCTGTAAGAGCAGGCTCGTTTCAGCTCGTCAGGAGCAAGGGTGCATGCTGTTCTTCCACACATTTTAAATGAGACGAAGCAGAACTTTTCCAACACCTGAGAACGACATTAAAGGTATCGTGTTAGCATGTTAGCCTGACTTTTTATCGACCAAAACATAGCTCTAGAGCCGCTGACACTATTTAGGACTACTTGCCCCACCACTTTCCCAATGTTGTGGTATATTTGACGTGCATGAAAAAGCTGTACTTACTGTATCTGAGCCACTCTTAACCTCTGAGTTTGTGTCTGAGGTGAGGTTTAGAGTTCGGTGTATTTTTGAATATAGGGCGGGTATTTGCCTGGGCAAGAGCCGTGAAGGGGGCGCGGATTTACACGCCGTGACGTACACCGGCTCTGCTTCCATCTAGCCAGAGCCAAGATGGCGGCCGTACGGAGAATATTTTATAAGAATAAAATAAAAAATAAAATAATTATTCAAATATTATATTATATTATATGATAGCTACAATGTTTAATTATAAATAAGTACCTAGCTCTTCTTTGTGCCACCAAAAAGTACCAATACAACTGTGCAATTAAGACCACTGAAATTATTTATGACAGTGCAACAGGTAAAATGTAAAAATTAATAATAACAAAGAATGAAAATGAAGAATTAAACATATATTGCATTCCATAAAATAATATTTGGCATAAACGTAAAATGTTAAGCGATTTCCATCAACACACTAACCAAGCGGAGTAGCTAATGTTAACGCCTAAATATTGCTCACATGGCAAATAGATAAAGACGGAAATGTTAGCGGCTTTCCACGAGTTGCCAAGGCAACAGTAAACAGGTAACGGTTCAGGCTCAGCATGCGCTCCTGACACCTGTGGGTCTCAGCAGGTGAGAGGAGAAACGCGATGGTGACATGTTTTATTAGAGCAGCTTATGAGTTTACTGTGGTTAGCTACGCTGCAATGACAAGACAATCTTGTTAGTGTCTAGACTGATGTGTGTAAATCTTTGGCTCCACTTCTGGCCTTCCGTTCAAAAGGTAACTGAAGGACATATCACACCCTGCAGGGGCATTAGACAACCTGACAGGTGTATCAGGTGTATCAAATTAATTGCCCACCCCTGCATTAAACCGTGTCCCCGTTTTGTGTGTAACTATGAAGCAGAGCACAATGATCCTCCTGAGGAATGAGAGCTGATGTCAGTATGGAGTCTCATCGGTCCATCCACATGGACCAGACCACAGCTGGACACTGTGCTCCATGCCCAGAGAGCGGTGAGAGATACAAAACTATAAAAGCAAATGCTGCCTCTGTCTGAACTTTCCAAGGAGCAGGCAAATGCAACTGGAAATCACTGGGTTGTATTTTCTTTCTGGCTCCATCAATATCAACTAATGCTCCCCAGTTGATTCCCAGGTTTTGTGCCAGTAATCCTACATTTATTTAAATTTTATTACCCCATTTTATTGTTAAATGTACAGATTATAACTTTAATAGAGGAAAGTCTTTCAGAGGAAGCCATTATTGTTGAACTGAAACATGAACAGTATGTTTTCACACCTCAAGACAACTTGGCCTCTTTCTTCACAGACATGGCTTGTAGATCACAAATGCAGAATTAATCATGAGGTCACACTCAGGACAGGTGGCTAAGTGTTTGAATGCCAAAACTATGCATTAAAGTTTCATGAGCTTGTTCCTTGGTCTTCACTTAAGATGCTAAGCCTTTAGCCTCTGGTATTACTACCCTAGTCTTTGTTATGCTGTACCTATCATGTGCCAACAAGACTTGTGTTTAGTGTCCTTTATGCATTGGGGTCCCCCCCACCCCACCCTCCCCTCCCCCAGCTTGCATGATAGTTTAATAGTTGATATGATAGTTGCATGGGATACTCTTTGTGTTACACGGGGGAATCAGAGGCTTGTTCGAGATGGAGAATGCTGGGATACAGAAAGACGACCAAGAGGAAGCCAAAAGCAACCTGCAAACAAGTAGATTCACTCTGCATCTCAGAAATCAGCTTAGTAAATCATTTTCCCAAAGTTGGGAAAATCAATGCTACATCAGTTAAAATGAAGATTTAAAACAAAAAATTAACAAATAGCTTAAATAAGTAAATGGCATGTAGCTCAGTAAAATGCAATGTGCCCAAACAAATATCTTGATATGGTAAAACCTAGGCTAAAATCAAAACAAAGGAAAAGAAGTACATGTTTACATAACTGAGCAATATGAGCAGCACGTTGGTGTGAAGGTCCTGGGGGGATTTCTACATGTAAGGTACATGTTCTCCCTGTGTCTGCATGGGTTCTCCAACTTCCTCAGGCAACCATTAGGTCAGCTGGAGATTCTAAATTGGCTCTTAGTGTTGTAATTTCTTTAAACATTTATTCATATATATTTAATGTTACATATTTTTTGCATAGTGTTATTGTTTTTAGGTTGTGGTTCATCTATTTAGCCCTCTGGTCGACTCTGCTGCTGTAACAATAGTAATTCCCCACCTCTGGGACTAATAAAGGTTATCTTATATTAGGATTATTGTCCAGCCAATAAATGCAGTCAATATATTCTTTTCAATGACTGGAATGTGATTGTTTATATGGTTGTGCATGCTAGCTACCCATTCTGAGGTCTGCCGCAATTTTGTCAGCCTGCCTGCTCTTGACCTGGATAGACTGAGAGAAGCCAGGGTTGTCGTAGACAAAGCTGTCAAGGTAAGCCTGCACTCCTGAATGTGTTCAAATCGTTCATGTGTTTTCAGGATTGCGAAGCCATTGTTTGTTTGTCTGCTCTCTGTCCTCTCAGATGCATAAGGTGTTCTCGATCCAGGGCAGGTATCCTGTTATCAGGGAAGGGCTGAGGGCTAGAGGCTGGGTTGAGCGGTGTATGGTCTACTCTAAGCGCCGAGTGCGTCGCCATCAGAGCAGTAGAAACAGAACCGACTCGAATTATGCTATGTGTAGTGATAGAGATGATGGTGAGCTAGAAGCGTGGCTGACTCAGAAGACTAATCGTGGGTATCTCTGCACACACCATCATTTTATCAACATTTGGTTCTTCTTTTCAGACAACTCAAATGATGCTGAAAAAGAAAAAGATGCTGACAGACTTCACAATGTCATGGTAAGACCAGCTTTTCATGTTGAGGAAGTATACATTGTTAACCTTGGTTAAACTGATTAAAATTACAGCCAATCCCAGATTCAGATCTCATCTCTTTCCTCTGCTCATTTCTGTAGTCTCGCCTGGTGTGGAATGAAATGGTTTACTTCTACTGGACAAACCGCAGAAAGGCCATCAACACAAAAAACCTGCATAAGGAACAGATAACTAATCATTTTTCAAAGGCAGGCAACTTGACCACCAAGGTACATTTATTTGCAGTTGTTATTTCAGACAACCTTAGGATCCAACTCTGTGCCCCCCATCATTACTTCTCTTTCCCGTTACAGACAGGCTTGTGTTTGAATCTGAGGAAACTACATTGGTTTGATTCGGCTGACCCAGACACCTTCTTCCCCCGCTGTTACAGACTAGCAGCACTAGATGAGAGGCATGCCTTCATTGGTTAGATCTCCTTTTATGTCTTTTCAAGCTTGACCTCTTGTACTGTACCTCTTTGTAATGTTTTTTTTATCTTTTCAGTTTTTATTTCTGCTTTACTCATCTCTTGTCATGGTGCTGGGTCGGTGACCCACCGTTTTGTGTTTATTAATATTATCATTATTATTATTGATTATATATTCTAGTTGAGAGGTTTTCTTCCCATGCCTCCTTGTGTGTCTGGTTATGTGTCGGTGTGCTCTCTCTTCATGTCCCTGAGTCAGTGTCTGCAGTTCTTTCGATGGTTCCAGTTTTACTTTGAAGGTCTGTGTCTCGTCTTGTTAATTAGGATCAGCTGTGCCTCCCTTGGGTTTGCCATTTTGTGTTCCTCTGTGTGTATATTTATAGTGTGGGGTTGCCTTTGCTGGTTGCTGGTCCGTCCGTTAGTTGGTGTTCTCTGCATCTCTCTCTGCTTCTCATCCCGTGTTTCTCCCTGCATGTTATCGTTTCAGGTTTGTTTATTAGTTGCCCCAGTTTAGGTTATGTCTTAGTTCTGTCCTCGCTTTTGTTTGCTTTCACCTTCTGTAAATAAAGCTCACTCGCATCTCAGCCAGTGCCTGCATCTTGGGTCCTTTTCTCACAACGCCACACGGCTTGCCCCGCACACCATGACATCTCTGATCTCTGTGCAGATGACTACAGGAGGACTGCGTGCACCAGTCTTCTGAAGTACATTGTGGAGAAGGACCAATATGTTCAGGGAGAGAGAATAAGTCACACCATACAAGCTGTTAAGGGTATGACCTTTTCTCACATAAGTATATATTACTCTGTTCAGAGAAAAAAAGAGAGAGCGGTCGGTGTTTTTTGTTCTTTCCTTCAGGTAAGAAGAAACAAAGCAAACGGCAGTCTAGCCCAGTGAATATTTCCCAAACGATCAGCAAGGCACTCAAAGTTTGCGAGGACTTTCTGCAGAGTCTGGAGCACAGTGACATAGACACTAACTTGGAAACACAGCAAACACCCGCACAGGAGTGGGCAGAGTTTTTAGACAGTTACTATCTAGTTGTGCAGTGAGTATGCATCACCATGTGCGTGTTAGAGAATTATCCAGAGGCTTTAGCAGACCAACATGCTCTTCTCAGTCAAGTACAACTCTGTTGTGTGCTTCCTTGCTCAGTGGTGGAGCAGAGATTGATAGCAGTGATTATTTAGTGATCCACTGCAAGGCTATGCTGCAGAGGATGAAGATAGTCAATCCCCAGCTGGAGATAGAAGGCATCCATAACATCTGGATCATCAAACCTGGAGCAAAGTCCAGAGGCAGAGGTGAGAGGCCACGCACAATCAGGCCTTTCCCAGATTGTCTGACAAAGTCATGGTTGATCTGTTTTACTTTCTTTCTAGGGATCAAATGTGCTAATCGTCTTGACCAGATCCTCGACCTGGTGAAGGGTGATCCAAAACTTATCAAGGAAAACAAATGGGTGGTACAGAAGTACCTGGAGCGCCCCTTCCTTATCCATGACACCAAGTTTGATGTGCGCCAGTGGTTTCTGGTCACCGACTGGAATCCTCTGACCGTGTGGTTCTACAAAAAGTGCTACTTACGCTTTTCCACACAGCCTTACACGCTAGATTCAATGGACAGGTGAGATGAATAACATAAGAGGTGAAAATGAGAGGAAGGGGCAGACATGAAACCAGTTTGACATTAAAATAGAAAAACAGGAAGTGAAAGGCCGCACAGGGGCAACATTATTTTGCATGCCATTTTTGGCGGGAAATTAGATTTTCCATCTGTGCATCATTTGAATAGTTGTTAACTTTCTCCTCTGGGTATAGTCAAATTCTAACATCTGCCTCCGCATACTTCAAACAAAGCCACAGTGCACAGTCTGTAAGTGCTTCCATTGAGCTGAGGGGGAGGAAATGTGGGAATCCTCGGAATTTGTGTATTAGAAATATATGAAGAAATTATATGAGTTTTGTCAGGAGGGATTAAGCTGTTGCAAACTTCAAAGAGTTCCAACTAGGTTGCAACTCATGTGGGATTTGGTTAACTATATTTACCGGCCAATTTGTTAGGTCCACTTGTTTGACTTCTCATTAATGCAAATATGCAATCAGTCAATCACATGGCAGCAACTCAGTGTACTTAGACATGTAGACATAGTCAAAATGAACTGCTGATATACAAGCATGTCCTGAGTTTGTGTCTCCTGTAACACTCTTCTATATCCTAGCCTAACAAACTCTGTCCAATAACAGTTTTGTCTTTTATTTTTTAAGCTCCGTGCACTTGTGTAATAACTCCATTCAGAAGAGCTTGAGGCCCTTGCTACAGCGGCACAGAAGCATTCCAGTAGACAATATGTGGTCGGTTGACCAGTTCAAGACATTTCTGTGCACCAAGGACCGGGAAGCTCAGTGGGATACTGTAGTCGTCCCAGGAATGAAGAGAGCTCTCATCTATGCGTTACAGACAGCACAGGATCTGATAGAATCACGCAAAAACACATTTGAGCTCTATGGTGCTGATTTCATGCTAGGTACAATGGGCCCGCCATACATGACACACTGTATTTCACATTACACTCTCTGCATTCATTTCATTTAAATAACATTTAAATATTTTTACTGTTATAAGAACAGAATAATTATCAACAACTAACATGTTATAACATGTTCATTTTTCAGATCGTGACTTGCATCCGTGGTTATTAGAAATCAATTCTAGTCCCACCATGGCTCCATCAACCCCTGTGACAGCCCATCTCTGTGCTGCAGTGCAGGAGGACACTTTACGAGTTGTTCTGGATCGGAGAGTTAAGCGCACAGCAAACACAGGAGACTTCCAGCTCATATATAAAAAGGTCAGGAACAGCTTTCCCTTCGTTATGCTTTATGTATATTTAAATGGAGACAATGATGGAGTACTTCAGATGTCATTTTTCATCTTTAGGCAGCTGTGAAAGTTCCTCAGTATGTCCCTCAACACCTGCGTGTTGAGGGATTCAGAGTTAAATGCCCCAACTCGCTTCCTCCCCTGAAGTCCTCCAGCTGTGCAGTGCCAAAACACCGTTCCCCATCAAAGACAAGAGTCCCTCAGCAGAAAAAGTAAAGTCTCTTCCTAAGATACCATTAAAGGATGTAGCTCAAAAACACCAACTGTGGGTTTCTGCCACCTCCTCGTCTTCTTTCTCTCACCCTATGATGGTAACTCAACAATGTCTGACAACAGAAGAGATGTGTAACATCTAATAAGATAACATTGTGGAAACTAGATAAACGATTTCATTTTAGTGGTGATTTTGCATTAATTACAGTTTTATATATAGAAAGCCCAAAATAATCATGAAAAGGTCAGAAAAGAAGTATGAGGGGTTAAAATATACCAACAGCGATCAGGAGGAGATAGACTGAAAGAACTGGGATCGCTTTTGTGAAAAACTGAGATCACTACACTCTCACCGGAAATCTCTTTCTAACAGAGATGGAGTAAAATGCAAAAAGCTAATGAGGCTTAGTATTATTTAATATCGCTGACATTGAGACTCGCTAATGAATTCCTCAAACAGAAGATAAACAGAATGGAGAAGCTGTCAGTAACGACAGTGAACAGGTGGCGGCGATCATGCACAGCTCAACGGTACTGTAAGGGAAGTCCACGCGAAGAAGACACATGAGCGCGCCTAGGTTGTACTAGATTGGATCAGCGGGGAACTCTATTGTGTTGTGATTGGCTGCTTTCCTTCGGCTAACGAAGTCTAAACCAATAATAGCAGAGGTGCTGGCGCCTGCATCACACTGTAAGAACCAATCACGGCGTCGTCCCTTCGACAGATCCAATCTAGCACCAACCGAACAGCCGAGACTGCCTTCTGTAACCGTACGAAGAAATGGCTGCGTCCGTATGCCGAGTGGGGAGCACTGTGGGTCGAGCCCTTGCCAAAACCCACAGAGTAAGTATCTCTTTAAAGGTCGGACAGAATACTTTGTTTAAAAAATGTGGAATATATTGGCGGAATGTTCCGCAACACTAAAAGTGTTCTGGTACGTGCTAGCCAGGAAGCTAGCTAGCTGTGCTATCCGCTGTACAGCTATGGAGAGTCTGTAACCGGTTAGCATTAGTTAGCTATCACTGAGTGCAAGGTCAATCGGCTTATGAATCAATACATATTATAACAGCTACCTAAAGCACTTTGTCCACTTCATTAAAGATCTTTCAAGGAGTCTTGTTGTGGTTTTACTTAAATTTGGTCATTAACGAGGTAACATTTGCTATTTGTCCTCACTTGCCCTCAAAGACAAGTGAGGCTAGCACCGATAGTGTAGCGACTTTGGAAAGACCCATGACTACTGTTGTTGATGCGGCTGAAGAGCTGGATAAGAACTAATACGTCAACTCGAAAATAACATGAAAACGTCGTAATAACACCCAGGTTGGATTATACTTGTAGCATAAATTCAAGATTTTACCAGATGTTGTAATAACAGTACAGTTCTGTTTACTAGTGACAGCCCCTGGCATGTCATTACAGCTGTACCGTCTTAAAAAGACACTGCTCTAGAGGGATTTGGGGTTAGCCTTTCGTTTTTTGATCACTCATTCTGCAGGTAATAAAGATTGTGCTAATGAACTGATACTTATTACCTATTAGCGCATACAAAGTCAGAAAAAACATGCTTTCCTCCCAGGTAATCAGTTGTAAACACAGAACAAAATGGATCATTTTAATTAAAAGCCACCGCTAGCAGGAGAGTCCTTTTGAACTTGCAGATAGATCATTGGGATGGTACACCAAATGTTCTTATATTGGGATGTTATGTAGTATAATAAAATATAAGTGGTTCTCCAGAGTCTTTATTGTTGTTTTGTTATTATTGTTTTAATGTTTTGCATCTGTAACTTTTCCAGCCCATCCTGCTGTCCTTGAGGCGTGGACAGGCCTCAGTAAGCTATGCCCAGAGTCTGTTAGGAGCCCCTGAAACCCGTCTTACTACACTGGACAATGGTTTGAGGGTTGCGTCTGAGGAGACTGGACATGCTACATGCACTGTAAGAACACGTCATAAATAATGCTATAAGTTGGAGTTGTTTAAGCACACGATAGACACTTTTACTCATGTAAACCTTAGCATATTTATTCAGCACATGCCATCTCTTCTTTGTCACAGGTTGGACTGTGGATCGGTGCAGGCAGTCGCTACGAGAGTGAGAAGAATAATGGAGCAGGCTTTTTCCTGGAGCACATGGCTTTCAAGGTAAACTTCATGACCTTTGCTATCCTACAGGGCTATTTGTTAAAGTAGAATTTATATATCCAACATGACAGAGGTTGCAATTACATCCCCCCCTTCAGTAAATGTGTTTTGTCTTCTCTGCAGGGAACCAAGAAGCACCCACAAACAGCCCTTGAGCAGCAGGTGGAGTCTATGGGTGCTCACTTGAGCGCCTACACCTCCCGGGAGCACACTGCATACTATATGAAGACCCTGACCAAAGACCTGCCTAAAGGTGAGAGGCAAAAAAAACCACACAGATTCTTCTCTAGTTTTAATAATACAGTGATCGCCAAGACATCACAGTGAGATAAACTATTTAATGAGAATATAACAATAAATCAGTCATTTATACTTGGTTCTCTACTATGAAGGGAAGAAATTCCAACTTTCATTGTTTCTTAGCACAAAGTATGTGCATTTCTCCTCTTAGTTGTGAACAACATCTGTGTTTTCCAGCTGTTGAGCTGCTGTCAGAAGTCGTGCAGAGCTGTTCCCTTAACGAGGCTGAAATCGAGCAGCAGCGGAGTGTGGTCCTGCGTGAGTTGGAGGAAGTTGAGAGCAACCTGCAGGAAGTTTGCCTGGACCTGCTGCATGCCACAGCCTTCCAGGGGACTGCTCTGGGACACAGTGTGCTGGGCCCATCCAGCAGTGCCAGGTGGGAGGAGCTGCCTGCTCATGAATATCTCTAGATTATTATTATTATGTCTTAGAACAGCTGTCAGGGGAAAGACCACTCGGGCTATTCGAGTTGGCTCAGTATAGCTTGACTTAGATTTTAGGGTTTTCCATTTAGGTGGTACTACCTGATACCAGGTACTATTTTTACTACCTACTTGGCTTATGTTCCAAGTGATCTTAGGCGAGCTGAAAATGTGACATCATCAGACTGTTTGCCACCGACTTGCTAGTCAGTGGTGTCACTCGATGATTCCCGAAACCTTCACGAAAATCAAAATTGCCATTTTTGAAACCCAGCAGTGAGGGAAATATGCTTATATTGTACTTTTTTTTTTTTTTTTGGAGCTACTAAATTGTCACCTATCTGTTTGCTATCGCAATTTTTATACTGCATATAAATTTATACTGGTATTATTGCAGACAATATGATATGGCACAGCTCTAATGATAGTTGTTATAATTCTTTAACTAACACAGCAAAAAAAATCACACAATTTGCACCTTTATGTAAAAAAAATGACTAATCTTTTATACAATGCTCACAGGAATCTGACCCGCCAGGATTTAGTGGATTACATCAACAGCCACTATAAAGCTCCTCGCATGGTGCTCGCTGCTGCTGGAGGTAGGTGTTCTTCCTCTTACGCTGTTAGGACGCATTATGGTGCATTGTAATGCTCTACATTTCCTTGAAAGCCTTGATGCTTATCTGGTGCGTTTCCTCTACAGGTGTGAGCCACGACGAGCTGGTTGGTTTGGCCAAGTCTCACTTCAGTGGAGTGTCTTTTGAGTACGAGGGAGATGCTGTTCCCGTGTTGTCACCCTGCCGGTTTACTGGCAGTGAGGTGAGATGTGTTAATTAAAAAAACAAATAAAAACTGCATGTTAATTTTTTTCTTCAGTATTTGTGTTTATAAAGATTTCAAAAACCTGGTTCTTGTTTAGACGTGGTGACATTCAAAATTATGCTAAATGGTCTTCTTCCTCTCCTCAGGTCCGTATGCGTGACGATGCTTTCCCCTTGGCACACATTGCCATCGCCGTGGAGGGTGCTAGTGCTGCTAGTCCAGACATCGTGCCTCTTATGGTGGCCAACGCCATCATCGGCAGCTATGACCTTACCTACGGTGGTGGAAAGGTTGGAAATGTTATTTATTTTTTAAAATGTACTGTGTAGAACAGACGGCAACGATGAAAGTGTAACTGTAGTATTGAAATGTCCACAGACATGACATCATTATGTTGGTTCTTTATCTTTTAAGCTTTATTTGTTCTCAGGTAAAAGTGTTGCTGCCACAGTGTATAGTATATCAGATTTGAGATTTAAACTCAGAAAGGAGGATCTTGCTGAGATGAACAAGTCTTTATGTCTGACAAGAAAGTGATTAAAATGTAAACAAAAAAAGAGTCCTTTTTTTAGTAATACTGTAATTATATTGTGAGTGTCAGCTATTGAATACACAAATCAGTTCAACTAGAAAAACTTGACTCTTGGTTTCTTCTTTAGTTATGAAGAAATATAATAACATATTCCTTTTTCTTCTCTTTTTCAGCACCTGAGCAGCCGCCTGGCTCGCCTGGCGGTGGAGGATAACCTCTGTCACAGCTTCCAGGCCTTCCACTCCTCTTACAGCGACACTGGCCTGCTGGGCATTTACTTTGTGGCCGATAAGAACAACATCGACGACATGATGCACTGGTCACAGAATGCCTGGTCAGTAATGGTTCACGGACAGAGAGATGCAACGGGAACATTAGAGTCTGTGGTTTGTTGCTAAAGGTTTAATTCCTTCATATTTTGCTCCCTGCAGGATGAATCTGTGCACCACAGTGACAGAGAGTGATGTCGCCAGAGGCAGGAATGCTCTGAAGGCTAGCCTGGTTGGACAGCTCAATGGTACGTAATATCTGTAATGGATTATACACGTGCATATAGTTTTTGCACACCGTTGAAAACCTGGAATTTTTAGATCTTTTTCATGAGCTCCTTTCAAAAAAGTAAAGTCCTAAAATGTTTTTGAGCTGAACATGTTCACTATTAAGCAGCAGATTGAATTTGAGAGCAATGACACTACCTGATGATACTGTGTGCACTGCATCCCTGAAAGTCTCACACAGTACAGTATGTTTTAATCACAGAAAAAAAGAATGAAAACGTTCTCTTTTTATGAACTCGGACACATCACTCTCATGAATTATAAGTTGACACTCCTGTTTGCCTTCTAGGAACAACACCAATCTGTGATGACATTGGCAGACACATTTTGAACTACGGCCGGCGTATTCCTATAGCAGAGTGGGATGCTCGGATTGATGTAAGTTTACTCTAAAGGACAAAAAGATCACGATGTTCTGTGTCTTCACAGCATCATACAGTACCTTCTCAGATTTGGCTTAGTCCTATAGTCTCTCCCGGATGAGCGTTTTAACTCTAAATCTTTCCTTTCAGGCTGTGACCCCCAAGATGGTGCGTGACATCTGCTGCAAATACATTTACGATAAGTGTCCTGCTGTGGCTGCTGTCGGTGAGTTTTGCTGTACTTTTAGTCTCTTCACAGCAAGGATGCAGCTCATGCTGCAACTATTTTCTGTAACCTGTCCCTCCTTCTCTTCACCAGGCCCCATTGAGCAGTTACCGGACTACAACAGAATGCGCAGTGCCATGTACTGGCTGAGGTTCTAAGATGATTAGTTATGTGTCTCTTCTTCCTCACCCTTACTT